CATACATAACTACTAGTACTCTAAAACCCCATCTATGTTTATAAATTTGACGTGCGTATTAAAAAAGGTATACACGTGAACTTACTAATATGTACTTCTTGAGACGCACTACTATGTAAATTACTTTCCATAATCTCAGTTATACTATGTAAATTACTAATGTACTTTTATTACTCAAAAGAAAAATCTCAATTATACCCAAAGAAAATATAAAAGTTAAAAGAAAAAGTTTTTCATTAGCGTTTCAATAACAAATTGCTCTAATTTATCTTTATCTATTTTTGCGATTATTCTCTAGAAGATATATATTCCTCTATTTTTATATCATACATCAACAACACATTGGTGAACAAGCTGGTATTTGATCGCTGGAACAGCACTAGAAAAGTGGTCGGAGAAGATAAGGTATGCCGGACAATTGACGTGAAGGCGATAAGTGCCAGAGACCCACGAACCCACTTTCCACCTAACCCAACCATCAATCTTGATGTTCAGAAGCACCATCCCGGCGATTAAGTCTTCGTTCAACGCCGAAGACAGGTGAGGAGACACCGGCACGGCGGAGCCAATCAGAATTGGTGACCACACCGTCACGTCACCGTGTACTTGATACGTTGCCGGTAATAGTATCGGTAACGTCACCTAGGAAAAATAAAGTTGAATCAAATATTAATAATGTTTAGACGAAAAAAATTTGGAAGTTAGAAGTATGATATAGTATTATTTTGTTCTCTACTTCTCTCCTCTTYATTTTCTTTAGGTCCTTTTTTTTGTATTTAAACTTTAATATAGCTTCTGCCAAATTTATATTCCCCTTTAAGAGTAAGTGCTCTAGAGGCTTCTATTCTGTAAACATTCTATAATTATTTGTGAACGCATAACACATAATGACGTTTCAACAAAAGAAAGATGATTTTTTTTTTCAAAAACAAAAAGAAGACAATACCCCTTCTTCTGTGAAAGTAGTAGTATATATACAAATTTGCAGATTTTATTATTGGTTTTTAAAAATTGCATATTTTGGTATAACAAATCATTTCAAATGATGAAAACTATATCATATAACGAAAAAAGTAAGTGAAATCAAATTTGTTATTAAATATACATGCTTTAAGATGGGTTTTTGTGATTTTAACGTTAAACAACTACTAATACTTGCTGGTCCATACTTCATACACTTTACGCACCAACCAATATATGGATA